ACGAGAGGAGAGGAGAGGAGAGGAGACGAGAGGAGAGGAGAGGAGAGGAGAGGAGAGGAGAGGAGAGGAGAGGAGACCAGAGGAGAGGAGAGGAGAGGAGAGGAGAGGAGAGGAGAGGAGAGGAGAGGAGGGAGTAACATGAGGTTGTTTTCTTCTCTCCACTTTGGACGCAACTTTGTTCGAGATATCACTGAGTGTAAGGCTCCAAACTGATGACAAGTCAGCACCTCAAACAAGACTGATATTCCTCCTGTTCCTGCTCCTGCTCTTCCTCTTCCCCTCCTCCCTCCTCCTCCTCCCCTCCCCCTTGCTCCTGCTCCTGCTCTTGCTCCTGCTCCTCCTCGTCCCTCACCTGCGAGGAGTACCCCCCCAAGCAGTACAACCTTCCCTTGAGCGCGACGCAGGAAGTGGCACTGCGAGGCCTGGCAGCACTCAAGGTGAGGGAGAGGAGGGGAGGAGGGGAGGAGAGGAGCTGACCGGCTTTGCCCCTTGCCGTCGGCCATGTCGCCTTCCTGCTGGATATGAGCAGCCTCTCGCTCAATCTTCTCCTTGCGCTGCTTGATGCTCGTCTCCCCCGTCCACTTCATCACGCTTCCCACCTCTCCTGCCTGCACCCCCTCAGATCCCTCTCAGCTGTTCGACCTTCGCCTCTTACATGCGTCAACCCACCGCAGATCCAGAGCCTAGTCATCATCGTGTTGGAAAACCTGACGAGATGAGGTGAGGAGGAGAAAGGAGGGAAGGAGAGGGGAGGGGAGAGGAGGGGAGAGGAGGGGTGGAGAGGAGGGAAGGAGAGGGGAGGGGAGAGGAGGGGAGAGGAGGGGTGGAGAGGAGAGGAGAGGAGACGAGAGGAGAGGAGGAGAGGAGAGGAGGAGAGGAGAGGAGAGGAGAGGAGAGGAGAGGAGAGGGGAAGGGAGGGGAGAGATGGATTTGACTGAGAGAAGACAAGGAGAGGAGAGCCGGTGCTGGTGGTCTGACGTTTCTTTGTGCTCTTCTTGCATCGCCATATCTGAAGGGTTCAAGTCAGAAATTTTCGATAGATTGAATTTTGATTATTAAAGTTAATTGAACGTTTCTGTCTTTGGTTGCTGGTTTTGCATCTCCTCTACTTCAGTTCTCCATTTCTTGTTGCTGACTGCTTCTTGCTTGTCCCTCATTTGCTGCTCCTTTCTTGCCTGCCTGCCTGCCTGCCTGCCTGCCTGCCTGCAACCTCCCTCTTTCTTCCTGTCCAGCCTCCATATCGTTTCATCTCCTATGAATTCGTCACGTCTCCAACTCCTCTTATCTCAAATCTTCCTTGGCTAGTATCTCCATGATATACTACAACTGAACACGCAATCTTGTCTTGTCTTGTCTTGTCTTGTCTTGTCTTGTCTTGTCTTGTCTTGTCTTGTCTTGTCTTGTCTTGTCTTGTCTTGTCTTGTCCTTCGTCAGTCACTACCAGCATAGTTGGGGCGGTGTGGAGCAGAATAAAACTATTTGTACACAGTTACCATTGGATACTAAATTTTAGTCATCATAAAGTACTTAAGTTTAGTCAACGTTTGGGGGTGAGAGCTACGGGACTGAAGGTTGGGGTCTGGAAGGGAAACGGCTCCTCCTCCGTCCTCTGCCGCCACCCCCGACCCTCCTGCTCCTCCCGCCTCGCCGCCTCCTGCTCCCCGCTCAGCACTCCTCCTCCTCTCCTGTCGTCTCCTCCTCCTACTTCCTCCTACTTCCTCCTACTGCCCCTCCTGCAGGCTCATCCTCCTCCTTCTTCCTCCTTCTTCCTGCCGTCTCCTCTTCCTCCTCCTGCAGTCTCTTCCTCCTCCTTCTCCTTCTCCTTCTCCTTCTCCTCCTCCTTCTCCTCCCCCTTCACTTCAAGCTCCTGCTCCTGCTTCTGCTTCTCTCCTGACCTGCGAGCGCTGGGACGTGAGGATGAAGGCAGCAGCGGCTTGAGTTCTGTCGAATCTCCAGTCATGGCGAAGAGAAGAGGAGGGGAGGGAAGAGGGGAAAGGCGACCTCTTGGAGCCTGGGAACCAAGGCAAGGGAACCACCTCCTCAACCTCAAGCTGCTGCTGCTGCTGCTTCCCTGCCAGGATCTGCGAGGCCAGTCAGGCAGCACTTCCTCCCCTCACACTACCGGTGTGATGTTGTGCGACCTCGCGTTCCTCCCTGCCAAGACCTGCCGCTCTTGTCAGCGTCCTCCTCCTTCCTGCACACGATCACCAGCGCTTGCTTCTCCTGCTCCGAGAGGATGTGGAAGGACCCATAGACGTGGTGCCCTGCAAGCTCCCTCAGCTTCTCCCTCTCCACCGCCTGCCGCACCAGGAGACTCGAAGCCCTGGCTAAGGAGGATGGGAGTGAAATTCCCTTGCTCGTGCCGCTCGTTGCGCTCCTGGCGCTCGCGCTCCTTGAGACGAGAGGAGGAGATCTTGTGGAGGGACTCGATGACTTGAGTGACTCTCTTGATGTCATGCTCGATGTTGCGAATCGACTTGTGATGCTCCACGATCCTCCCCTGATGTCTCTTCTCAAACCTGCTGACACTTAGAGTCCTCTCCTCTCCTCTCCTCTCCTCTCCTCTCCTCTCCTCTCCTCTCCTCTCCTCTCCTCTCCTCTCCCTCTCCTCTCCCCTCCCCTCCTCTTCATGCTCTCTTCACCCACTTGCGCAGCTTCTCGAGGTCTCGGTTCAGCTCGTCCACTCGCTTCCTCGCCAGCGCTCGCTGCCATGATGTGACGATATAGCAAAGAGAGAAAGAGGAAGGGGAGAGGAGAGGAGAGGAGAGGAGAGGAGAGGAGAGGAGAGGAGAGGAGAGGAGAGGAGAGGAGAGGAGAGGAGAGGAGAGGAGAGGAGAGGAGAGGAGAGGAGAGGAGAGGAGAGGAGAGGAGAGGAGAGGAGAGCTACCTGAGCAGCCGTCACGGCTGTCTTTGAGATCTTCACTTGTCGTTCCTTGTGGCCTGAAACCTCAGCCAACTCCTTCTCTGCATATACTTCAATGTCTCCTCCTCCTCCTTCTCCTCCTCCTCACCTATTCGCTTGATCTGCTCCTCTTCCGTCGCTATCTTTATCCATCGCTGCTTGAGGTCCTCGTGTGCTTCCTGCATCAACAGACGTCTGTCGCGAACACGGACAGGGGCAGGGGCAGGGGCAGGGGCAGGGGCAGGAGTAGCATCACGTCGAACTGCTTGGTGCGCTGGAGGATGGAAACTTCTCGCTTTTTGTCCGTGGCCGCCACTACCTGCCCTAGAGTGTAAGACTAGACCAGCAGGAGCTCGAGGGAGGAGGCGAAACGAGAACGAGAGGACTAGAGAGGAGGAGGAAAGGGAGAGAAGGAGAGGAGGAGGAGCAGGAGGAGGAAGCTGACTTCTTCATCGGTTGGCGGATGATAGACGAGCATGTCGTGGTGAATGTTTCCTCTTGCAACCAACGTCGGCTTGAAGCGATTCTTAGCTATCAAATATCTGTGTAGGTTTGATCAGCATTGAGCAGAGAAGGGAAGAAGAAGAGAGCTGAAGCTTACTCTCGTTCCTCGAGCTCTCGCTGCAGCTCTTCATCCAGCCGTTTAGCTCGTTCAAGCTCCGCCCTACCAGAGTGAGGAGATCAGGGAAGCATGAAAAGGGGGGAAGAGAGAACAGGGGAGAAGGAGGAGAGGTAGGGGGAGGAAGGGATCGATGCAGTACCGCACGGCTTGTATGTTCTCTTCTTCTTGGCGCACGGAGGTCTCCGACAGCTGCAGCGGGTGAGGACGCGGAGCAGGAGAGGGAAAGGGCCCACCCTCCTCCTCCTCATCTGTCGCTCCCTCAGCCTCCCAAGGGCGTTGACGATCCTCCGGCCTCGTGCCTCGAGCGCCTCGAGATCTCGTGGGGAGGAGGAGCTGATGACGCGGCGAGCGACGAGCTCTTGATAGCTCCGCATCTCCTCCTTCAGCTTCATGAACCTCTCCTCCTCCCGCTCGCCCATGGCATTTCCTCCTCCTCCGTCTCGCCCCCAGAGTCGTCCGAATCGCTCTCTCGATGCGCCTGCGATGACCATGCATGAGGAAGAAGAGAGGAGGAGGGAGGGAGGAGGAGGAGAAGGAGGAGGGTAGGACCTTCAAGGTACCAAGACCAGCGAGGGGGGTTGGCATCATGGAGGAGGAGACGGAGGCGCTGCTGCAGGTGAGAAGAGAAGGAGGAGCGAGACAAACTCACGGCGTCGCGTCATACTCCACATCCTCCACCACCGAGTACTTGCGCGTGAGCTGCTCAGGATTAGCTGGACAGGAGGGTGGTGGTGGTGGTGGTGGTGGAGGAGGAGGAGGAGGAGGTGAAGGAGGTGAAGGGGGGAGGAGGGAGGAGGGAGGAGGAGGAGGAGGAGGAGGTAGGAAGGAGGGACGGAGGGACGGA